TGTCATCATCTAGGCAACAACTAGTTGATGCTTAGGCATCCAAGCAGTGGAGAAAGCTTGTCTGGGTAGGTCTCCTTGTCCGAAGAGCGATGGAGTTGAAGTACACCGCTTAGATACTCATTAGGCATTTTTTGGTGACACCCTGAATTGAATTGTTCTCCAAATCCTGATAAAGGAAAACCTGAAGTAAATGCCGATGTGGCTTTTGCTGTCACCCAAGTTTGCTTTTGTGTCTTCCCTTCTCCTCTTATCAGCTTTTCACCTTTGTCTGTTTTTTTTCTTATTTATTTGGGTAGTTAACTTTTCTTTCTTTCTTTTTAATTTCATTTCTTTAGATGGTACTATGGCAGTCATATGAATCGTGTCACTGCCTTTTACTAAAGTTTTATTTTTTAGTTTATTAAAAAGAGGATATTAAGCTCTTTTTTTAATTAACTTGGTTCATTAGTAATTGATATATTGTTATATTCGAGTATTGCATAAGGTCACTTGTCAGTAGGCGGCAGTCACCTAGGCGACAATGCAGTCCACTTGCACCACACCTAGCTTAGAAGCCACAACAAAATTGACTTAGCTAAATGGTTAAACGGTTCTTGAGTATGGCATCATACCAATATAGATATATAATTATGGGGGTTACATGGGTTTTGAAATAAGGGCTTATTTACTTACTCTAGTAGCATACTGAATTACTCCCTCCATGTTCTATTGTTGGCTACAATAGGGTTTTGCACAATATTTACAGGAAAAATAGTAGGGGTAGTGAATAGAGTAGAAAAAGTAGAAGAGAGGATATAAAAGTATGAAAGAGAATATGAAAAGTAGAAAAACTAAGGGTTATTGAGTATTTTTAAAGGGAAAACTTACCAAAAAGGGAAAGTGTAGCAAATAAAAATACTTCCCAAAATGGAAAGTGTAGCAAATAAAAGAATACAGATGTAATACTAATTACCAAAGTTTGTAACATAACTTTCAACTAAAATTAATTAATTTACGATATACATGAAGGGTAACAGTCTTGCAGACAAGGATCACAACTGGTGTGAGTGTGTGACAATACATCTTGGTGTTTTGGTGTAGTCGCCTTATTTTGCCTGAAGATGGGTAGTCAATTGTCATTAGATGAATAAAATGAATTTGGAATTTGATCAAATTGTTGTTAGAATAGCTTAATTTGACCCTCACCCTTCTTTTTCTCTTATGTATAACTCAACCATTGGATCCAGAGTATCTTCAGCAACTTGGTCTTTAATACTGATTGTAATACCTTTTGGAACATAACAATTACGAGATACTAATTCTCTGTATCTTTGTGTAGACAGCGAACTCACCCACCGGACTACCAACCGAGATGCAGCTTGGATTATTATCTCCCATATATTTGAGGAAACTTTTTGAGCGGATGGGTGCAACATATATTAAGTTGGGGCAGGTAAAGTTGTGTGCTTTAATTTTCTTAGAGAATTGTAACTAGAGTAAGTGTTTCTTGCTAATGTTGATATTCTCATCATGCATTATGGTGGATGACTTATGTGCCGCAATGTTTATATGATGAGACTCAAGTTACTATTTTCTTGATCATTCATACACTTGACTTGTGATTACATAACTACTTAATGATTCTGAAATTGCAGTTTATAGCATCTGCTCCCACAATATTTCCACCGGAATATGTTCAAGAATTCCAGTGCTGTTTTGACAGGGCTCCTCCAGTCCCGTTTGAAGAAATTAAAGCAATCTTGCGTGAGGAACTAGGCAGGCCAATTGATGATGTTTTTTATTATGTTGATCCTACACCAATCGCATCTGCATCTATAGCACAAGTTCTCTCTCTCTCTCTCAGTCTCTCTTTCTCTCCTTTCTTCTTTCCCCCCCTCCTTACAGGTCCTATTTTTGATAATTAAGTCCTTATTACTGGTGAGAACTATTGATGTGATGAATGACTAGAACTAAAACATATTCAATTTCCAGGTGCATGTAGCAAGGTTTAAAGGCTCTCAGGATGATGTTGTGATAAAGGTCTTGAAACCTGGGATAGAAGATATTTTAGTGGCTGATCTGAATTTCGTATACATAGTGGCACGTATTTTGCAGTTCTTGAGTCCCGAATTGGACCGTGCATCTCTGGTACAATGCAGATAAATTCTTTTTAAGTTATTGAGGGACAGTTCATTGCTGACAGTTTTTTAACAGTTTAGTTCAATTTATGGAATTTCTGACTTGTCATATGGTAACCTGAGTCATTTGCAAACTCCTTAATGCATCTAAGTGTTCAGAAATGTCTTTTCAGTTGGCTAATGCAACATCGCATTTATACCCATATATTTTATTCACCGTCTTTTATAGGTTGCAATTGTCAAAGACATAAGGGAGTCAATGCTTGAAGAAGTTGACTTTACTAAAGAGGCTACAAATATTGAGGCGTTTAGGAGGTACCTTGAGACTATGGGTCTAACTAGGCAGGCTAAAGCACCAAGAGTGTACCAGCAGTGCAGCACACGTCGAATCCTGACAATGGAGAGGCTTCATGGAGTTCCACTTACTGATTTAGACTCAATAAACTCACTTGTTCCTAATCCTGAGACCAGCCTTATAACTGCCTTAAATGTCTGGTAGGGTTACAATCACAACTTCACAGTTATTATACAATAACACTATGATGGTAGGGATGTGGAAAATTGTAGGGGAGGAAAAATGCTACGAAAATATAATTTTATGTGTGTGTTGGAAACTACGAAGGAAAGCTAAACATGGTTAAAACTTATAATTTTTAAGTTATTATTATTTACATATATTTATATTTCTTGGCCTGTATATAATACGGAGTACATGTAATGAGTTTACAGGAAGATCTGGTCTGATTATTTAGTTGGAAGCACTTTTTCATTTTTTCCTTCTGAATCTTCCCTCTATTTTCCTCCCCTTTTCTTCTGATATCATTTTACCTGTTCCAACATGACCTTAAAAGTTATGTTCTTCTCCATGGAGTTTGAAGGTTTGGAAGCTTGCTTGCCTGTGAGTCCTTCCATGCTGATGTACATGCTGGCAACTTGTGGCTTCTACATGATGGCCGCATTGGTTTTCTTGACTTTGGTATGTGTCTCCTTGGACATCTTTATTGCACCCCAGAGAACTTGTATACTCCATCCCAAAAAAAGTCTTTTTTGAGTAAGCTACAACTTTTTATTTGTGATCAATTTAATCAAGGTAGAAGCTTTAATTTTCAAATCATGAATGATCATTTGTACCCTACAACTTATTTCCACGTTTGTCTGGACTCTGGAGTAATTGACTAAACCCACTTACTATTTTTGTTAACAAAAGTTGAATTTTGAAACCAACCCATTTTTGGGAAAAATGGTTCTTAAAACATGATTTTGTTGTGAGTCGGAAGGAGCATTGTTTAAGCCATTTATGGACAAGTAAGGTGTGGGAGACAGGGCATAACAAGATATGTGGTCTTCTGCACAGGAATTGTTGGTCGCATATCTCCTAAAACGTGGGCTGGTATGGAAATGTTTTTAACATCAATGGGAACCAAAGAATATGATGCAATGGCTTCTGGCTTAATTGACATGGGCGCTACAGGCAATGATGTGGATGCCAAGGCCTTTGCAAGAGATCTTGAGAAGCTATTTTCATCAATCGAGGTACACAGTTACACACTAGGCTTGAGTGCTTTGCTAGGGTTTCCCATTTCAAATTCAGTTCTTTAGTATTAACTCTTATCATGTAAGGTGTGGGAGGGTGGGATGATTTTTGGAAACCATCCATTTCACCTAAATAAGCATTTCAGAAGCTACTTTTCTTGCTTATCCTGCCAAACAAGCCGATAAGGCTACAAAATGGACAAGATCATGATAGTCAAGATGATAACAGGCTAATAGCTGTGTAGTATGAACTTGGAGCTACTGGAAAATGAAGTGCATTAGTAGTTAATATGCTGCAATCATTTTCTGAAAGATAATCGCTGTTCAGAGCACGGGATCTAGACATCAATTAGGCTGGTCTATGCCAAATAGCGAATCCTTGCAAAGTAAATTTTATGATGTTGCTGTTTGACACAATCATACTGTTGTTATTTAGGAATTGGATACAGAAATAGTTGTTACAGCAGCACGGGACACGAAGACAAGAGCAACCACCATGTCTGCAAATGTAGCTTTTGACCAGAGACAAATGAACACTCTTTTTCTTGATTTGGTATGGATTTTTGATAAAACAATACTCGTTTAGAAACTATGTAGGTTTTACTTTTAAGTTTTAAGTCTTTATTATTAGGGACTATTATTTAAGCATGGGTGTGATAATCCATACCATAATGGTTCTTGTGACCTTGAACAGGTTCAAGTTGGTGAGTCTTACGGGTTGAGATTTCCTCGCGAATTTGCACTTTTGATGAAGCAGATACTATATTTTGATAGATACATCAGGTTGTTAGCTCCAAACTTGAACATGCTTCGTGATCAACGGATCAACATTGCCCAAAGTCATGGAGAACAAAGAATCATATAGCACCGACTGCTTTCTCTCATTGTAGATAAATACTCTGATATCACATTCCAATTTACACGGTACAAAGGAAAAAAAACACTAGATCAGTAATACCTGGTAATGTATTCAAGTTTGTGTTGCAAGTTTTTGCATCTTAGTCCTCTCTAATGTGGTGTTTATGACACGTTTGGTACACGTTTTCAAATTTCCTGCTTTGGTTTGGTACGCGTTTGGTACTTCGAAAGGCTAAAAGTAAAAAAGGCTGAGAATGGGTACAAAGAATAGTGATATAAATTGACATAATAGTCCCAAGATTAAAAGTTACACCAATTGACTTTTAAAAGAGCGTATTATTAGACAAGAACTTAGACTGGGCTCAGACCAAACCTTAATTTGGCAGTCTCTTACGTTACTGCTCGCTCTCACTTCATTCCTGGATTAATACTCTAAGAGTCTAAGTCTCTAATGATCTGACAAAGACTTGTTCTGGAGGCTGAACCATTTGTGTTTACACCAACTGTTGGCATTTTTCATTCGCATTACTTCTCCCAAGAATATTAATTTATCTATTAAGTTATTAATCCAAAGTTTCAGAAGTATTACTTCTCCCATTTGTGTTTACAGAAGTACTAAGCTTATATAAATCTACAAAGTTTCAAAAGCCTCAAAACCCAAATTAGAGAACAAATTAAACATCTGCAAATTGACTTCTACTTCAAATTCATCTACTTCTACTTCAGAATCATCTGGGGGTAGCTACAGACGCCTCAACCATAGAAAGTATCCTCTTCTCTAACTCATGTTTGCTGCCGCCCACCATTCTGTCCATCTGTCGGCCTTCTTTTAAGAAGATGAATGTCGGAGTAGCTTTGATATCCCACGAATTACTGAATTCCTGTCATACCAAAACAATAATAGCCAGCAGCCATGTAAAAGGTTAAATTCCGGATACATAGCATCTTGATAGGTAGGAAAACATAATCACATTTACTTATATAAATATATATAGTTGTTAATTAGTAGTTAAACTGATATGATTACCGCTAGATTGTCAACGTCAACAGTTAAAAATTTCACTGACGTGTACTTGTCGGCGAGATACCGGTACGCGGGTGCTGCTATTCTACAAGGATTGCACCATGATGCACTGAAATTTACCACAACCTGTACATATGTTGTGCACTATTATGTATCAGAATTTAGGATTGAAGAACAGCTTTATACAAAATGTAACGCTAATAATTGTTAACTTTATATCACTCAATCATCGTAAACCGCAATGACATAACAAGATACTCACAATTTGGGCATTCTTGTTTGCCTGAGAAATTATCTCTTCCCAGTTCTCCACATCGGTCACTAGGTGAACATTTCCACCAGCAAGCTCTGATGAACCTGCAGTATTCCCTTCCTCCTCTTTGCTTTGTCTGCATAACTGCAAGTATGCATATATGCATGGCCAAAAACTCATTTCTTTGACCTCAAAATTAGAATTGAATGTATTAATAATTAATCAATCATTCGTAATTGTATTATTCTTATTAATTAACCTGAGCACAACACTGCCCCATGGATGATAAATAGCACAACCGCTCGAATTCGGGTTTTAATCATTACACCCGTCACCTTGCTATATTCATTTTTGTTGAAAACCTCATCAAAATTGTGATATACTATAGATTAACCACAATGCATATGTAAAATACATAATAAATAAATATTAATTTTGTTAAACTAAGTTTAAATTCTTGAAAATATGTAAACACAATCTTATCCTATAACCCCCCATCATCAACTAGAAACATCAATCTACATATTACAAATGCATACGTGATGAGTTTCATGCATGTAATTATGCAAACACTACTTTTAATTAATCATTTAATTCGAGAAATTAGGGGTTGAAAAATGCATTTGTAGAGACTTTAATTAGTAAAAATTAATTAATTAATAATACTCTGTATAAGTTTGGAAATATATGGATGAGACTAAGCAGGTGCGAACAGGAAAAAATGGAGTATAATTACGTACCTAAAAGCATCACATTAATGCGAGGCGGAGATTCAAGTGTTTCCGATCCAAAAAATTCGGCATACAAGATGGCCCAAAAACCCTTCCTCATATGTGTGCGAACCTTTTCAGGAAAATGTAAGGTGTATGTAGAGTTTCATACACTACAAGAAAATGACTCAATAATGAGGAAAATATAATGAGAGTAACAAATTCCCCTCATTAATTGTGTGTTTTGAGAGTTTTTAATGACGGTAAAAAAAATCCCTCATTGAAACTAATGTTATTGGTGAGAAATTTTGAATGAAAACTACCGACCGTCATTATTGCTCTTTGTTGGAACTTTGGCCTCACTTTTTCCCCTTGTCCGGCCACTTGGGGTTTTTATTTACTTTTTAAAATACAAAATACTCCGTAGAAGCTAGGGCTTATTACTTTTCCTTCCTTACGACTCTTCTCTCACTTTGGAGCCTCTTCAGCAGTTCGGCCGCAACGATGGACATCGTGATGAGCACAATCGCCAACACCATAACAGTGTGCTCGAACTGCAAGCTAAGCAACAGCAGGACCTCGGCGACCTTCACCTACTTTAATTATCTTCTCCAGACCTTGAGACTCCTTCTTGAGCGATTGAGCTAGATCTATGGTTTAGTTGGATAGAGATCTCAACGGCATGGATATGGTATGAGGAACTCTTATATTTTTTATACTTATTAAGTTATAAACGCTTGTACTCGATCTTCTCTCTAATCCATTTGAGTTGAAGCCATGTTAGGCTTGATGTTCCAGACTCTGTTTTTTCTTTCTTTCAGAATTCCAGATCCAAAATAGTGTTTCATTAATTCTTATAAAACTTGTATCTTACAGTTGTTTTTTCTGTTAAAACATGTGTGTATTCATTCTGGATCTTGTTAGCTTCCCTGGAGAAACCGTTTATCCCAGGTTCAATCTCCTATTCTATTTTTATTTAACCCTCTTTACTTGTAATGAGACTAGAAGATAATTATCAGATGCTTTTCTAGTTAAATGTTCATATTGAGTATCGGAAAAAGGAAGTTTGTTTCATTTAGTTACCAAGCTTTTTTGTGAGAAGAATGTGAACAAATCGAATGACATATAATAGTGCAGCAATGGATGAAGCATTTCTGTCCAACAAAATGATGAAAATGAAGGTAATGCCCCATTGAAAATCTCACCCTTTCTCACCCTCTCAAATATTGTGTATTTTAAGCTTAATTTAACTCGTATTATTCATTTTACAAAGTTATTGTTCATGTTTTAATTAGTTCATTGCATAATACTTTGTGATTTTAATTGTAAATTATAATAGGTTCAAAGATAGGTGTGAAAAGAGAAAGCTAGGTGTGAAAAGAGGAACACCCGAAGAACTATTGGTGGTCAAAATAGTGTGATTGTTTTATATTGTTTTCTATACTTTGTCCCAGACTTCCGGTAGAAGATAGAAGATATAGAGCAGAACATTCAAGTATTCAACAATGGCAAGGAGATGAAGAGTTGTTTCATTTATATATGTAACTCATATTTGTAAAAAGTTATGCATCCTTGCATTTTGCATCCATAAATTTGTATTTGTAAGATACTCAATATAGTTCCTCCTTATGGCTGATTAAAAATACGTAGTATAAGTTTGTATACTCATTTGTATTAGTGTGTTTTTAGTTTTTTATATTTCATTAAAAGCTTGTCATGATAATCTTTGCAATAACCTTGGAAGTTGGAAGCAAATGTAAAAGTGATTCCAAATAAGTTTTTTGTTTGACAAAATAATTGGAATTAAAAATATGAAAATGGCTGGATCAGAAAATGTATTTCACCATGAAGTTAACTTTTTAATGAGAGTAATTTTTCTCTCACTATATGCTTCTAATGATGGGATTCTCATCCTCTCATTAAAAACCTTTAACTACGGAAGCTATAATGACGGGTCGTGACGGGAAAATTCCCGTCATTAAAAATATTTAATGACTGTATTTTGATCTTTGCTCACGGGTTCTACCGTCATTAAAAGCAATATTTCTTGTAGTGATATAACCTTCAAATCTAAAAAAAATAAACTTAATTAGTAAACCAATTTTTGGAGGGGAGAAATGGCTATATATCCTAAAAAATAGGCTAGATGAAGTTCATAACCCATATTATTTTTAATAGAGTATAACACTTTAGTGATTAATTTATAAATTGTGATGAAGTCAAATACAGTTCAAGATCAAATCATACTTGATAATGAAATATGCATTGAGTTAGCATTAAATTTTATGAATTTTGATATATCTATTGAACATGCACAGCCGATAAGATTACAGAAACACTGAAAAGGTATACATATAATTTTTGTAAATATGTAATATTAACTTAAATGTACATATTTAAAAAATTGTTTTTTTTTTTTGCAAATCCAATAACTTTATTAATGATCATTCAAAGTATGGATAATACAACTTGGAGGATTCTCAAACCAAATACCGGCAGACCCCGAACAAGCTTCCCTCTCAAGAATATGAGCCACCTGATTCGTTGTATGGTGCACATACTGGACACTTAAAATGGTAAACTCTACCATCACATGTCTAATATCTCTAAATATAATATCATTATAGTGTATGCCATCTCCTCGAGCAAGCCCCTGTATAATGTGTTGAGCATCAGATTCTACTATAACCCGATTCCTGCCCCGTTCCATAGCCCACTGAACAGCTTCCTCAATTGTCATAGCTTTCGTCGTTCCGGGTGTAAACCGCCCCCTCCTCTTATACACTCTTTCCTGCTATGAAGTCCACTTTACTGTCACGCACAATCAGACCCAGACCTCTTACATCTCCTGCGTTAGAAACAGCAGCATCAACATTGATCTTCATGAAGCCTCTCTCCGATGGCTGCCATGTATCAACCTCCTTTACCGGGGGCCTTCTTCTGGGACTTAGGGAGCTGCGCCTTTTGCCACCCTTCCAGCATAGCTTCTCCGCATGCAATTACTCCTTTCCAACTTGGATTTAAATTCTCCCAAGTCTTTTCACTACGAGCTTTCCACAAGCTCCAACACAACATAGCGAAATGGCCGAACTCTTCCTTCGTCCTCCTCATGCCCGCAAATCAGGCACTTCGGCCACATCGGAACTCGCCGCTGAATTTATCGTTGTTTGGTAGGTAAACAATCCACACAAGCTTGCCAAAAATAATTTTACCTTCGGCGGTATCTCAATTTTCCATATTTTCGCCTAGCCCACCTCCAGTTAGACTCTTCTGTTGAGGCTTTTATAGCAACTTCGAACGGAATATACTCCATGATTATCGTCCGCCCAAATTAATTCATCCTCCATCTGTCCCGGTCGCAAAGGAATACTAGCAATAAGTTTTCTATCTTCCTCTTGAAAAAGGTCCTCCAATAAATCATAATCCCAACCCGTTCCATCATTGAGCATGAGAGAATTGACATTAATATTTTCCAACTCAGCTATTACATTCCCAGCCGGCCTGCACCCTCCCGTGTCATGTAGCCAATTATCTTTCCAAACTCTTGCTAAGTTCCCATTGCCAATACGAAAGCAAACCCCTTCTCTAACTGCCGGGACACCTACAACGATACTTCGCCAAATAAGGAATGGATTATGTCCACACCTTGCTTCCATGACATTACTGTGGGTAAAATATTTTGCTTTTAAGATCTTAGCCACCAACGAATCTGGATATTTTAGAATGTGTCATACCTGCTTACCCAACATGGCTATATTAAATTCGCGGAGCTTCCTAAATCCCAGCTCTCCTTGTGATTTCGGTATACATAGATCACCCCATGTTTTCCACCTAATACATTTTCCTTTAAAAGTATGTCCTCTCCACCAATTAACACTTCTCTCCCAGCTTTAGATAAGAACCTGCTATTCCAGCTCTGGATTCTTTGAATAACCTTTTCTTTAATATAACCAAAAATTTCTTTTTTTATTTCTCCCAACCATCGAAGGTAGCCCCAAATACTTACCCCCACCTCTGTCTTCCCCAACTCCAAAAATATTACATAAATAATCTATGTCATCCCAAGCCACATTTGCACTAAATCGCACGCTAGATTTATCAAAGTTAATTACCTGGCCCGAGACTGATGCATACTGGCCAAGTAACTCTTTGATAATAAAACAATCTCGCTCATTTGCCTCACAGAAATAGAAGCTATCGTCAGCAAACAATAAATGGGAAACCATCGGCGCCCCACGAGCCACTCGAATGCCTTGAAGAACTCCCTCTTGTTCTTTCGTCCGTAACATGGCGATTATTCCATCCGCCACCATAATAAACATATATGGTGATAATGGGTCCCCTTGCCTTAATCCCCGAGAAGGAATAATTGGGCCATAAAGCTCTCCATTAATCTAAATATGATATCGGACCGTATCCACACACTGCATGATTAAATTAGTCCATCGAGAACTAAAGCCGAAGCACTCCATAACATGCTTTAAAAAGCTCCACCCAACTCTGTCGTATGCCTTGCTCATATCAAGTTTGAGAGCCACATAGCCTTCCTTCCCTGTGTTTTGCGCTTTAGAAAATGTTGTATTTCAAAAGCAACTATAATATTATCAATTATAGATCTAACAGGTATGAAAGCGCTTTGGTTCTCATAAATAATGCCATGTAATAAGCCTTTGAGCCGGTTCGCTAAAATCTTCGCAAAAAATTTATAGGCAACGTTGAACAACGCGATCGGTCTCCAATCACCCATAGCCACAAGATTATCTTTCTTCGGTATCAGAACGATCGTGGTCTCATTATATTCCTCCGGTACACTCCCTGTATTAAATAATCCACCACAGCTGGTCCCACCACATCCCAAAAGGCCTGAAGAAAACCCGAATTCAAACTATCTGGTCCTGGAGCCTTGTCCGGGTGCATACTAAACGCC